CAAATTATCCTAAATAAAAACTAAGATCACAAAGTCACTGTGGATTTCAGTAATTAATAAAATATGCATTTGCCAAAAAAAAAAAAAAAAAAAAAAAGGTCAGTATGTGTCTAAGGCACTTGACTGCTAACCAGAAGGCTGGCGGTTCAAACCCACTAGCCACTCCTCCAGAAGGAAGTTGGGGCAATCTACTTCCGTAGTGATACTGCCTCGGAAACCCAAGGAGGGGTCGCTATAAGTCAGGTCTGACTCGATGGCACATAACAACAACAACAACAAGTGTTGTATTATAAAAAAAACTTTCAAACATAATTTAATTTAATTACTAACTTTTACAGAGAGGGTCCTAAAGTTTAGGTGGCTTGACTAAGGACTGAGATAGGGGCAGAACAAGAATGCTACCTAACTCTATTTACCTATCTTGCAGAGCTGTTACACAAATTAGAAATAATGTGAAGGTAATAAATGGGTAACAGTGGACATTCGATAAATGGTAGCTAAGCTGTGATAAAATTTCCTATTATACCACACTGACTCTCAAGCAATAACAAGTTCAAGTTTCATGAAGTACTATGATGAGCACTTACAGATCAAAGTGAAAACAATATTAACTAATGGGATACCCAGGTAGAGTAAGCAATTTAAAGCAAACTATATACACAATAATTTGTAGATATATGGCATCTATCTCAGCAAACACATGTGAAAACTCTAACGAACAAAAGCAACTTAATGTAATTTATTAAATATAAAACAATACGAATCAGAGAGTAAAGAAATTCAGTATAGCATGAGGTTAATTTGAAAGCTCCCATATGCTGACAGCTGAATTAAAATTCTAAAATAAAAGAAAGGACTATGGAGAAGAGAAGAGGATCTGAAAACAGAAACAACAGCACAGCAGAGGCATAAACAAGCTAAGCTAGAAATAAGAGTGAGCAAACTTGAATAGCTAGAGGGGAAAGAGACCAGAGGTGAAGATTAAAAACAAAAAAGGCTATTGAGATGGAGAAGGGACAAACATGGTGAAAGAATCAGAACATCAAGGACTGCAAAGCAGAAAGAAGTTGTGAAAATAGGACAGTGTTGTTGTTGTTGTTGTTGTTATGTGCCGTCGAGTCAGACCCGACTCATAGCGACCCCTCCTTGGGTTTCCGAGGCAGTATCACTGCGGAAGTAGGATTGCCCAACCTTCCTTCCGAGGAGTGGCTGGTGGGTTTGAACCGCCAGCCTTCTGGTGAGCAGGCAAGTGTCTTAGCCACTATGCTACCAGAGCTCCCAAGGACAGTGTTAGGAGCCAGCAAACAAGAATTATGGTCCCAATACTCCTACCACCTCAATGTGAGTAGTCAGTATATCAAACCCCATCTGGCCCTCTTTTGTCTGAAAAATAAGTGACATAACTACATAATACCCAGAATTACGTTCAAATCCATCATGTTGTTTGGAGCTCTGGTGGTGTAGTGCCTAAGGCATTGACTGCTAACCAGAAGGCTGGTGGTTCAAACCCACCAGCCACTCCTAGGAAGGAAGACCGGGCAGTCCTTCCCTAGTGATACTGCCTCAGAAACCCAAGGAGGGGTCGATATGAGTTGGATCCGAATCGACTGCAGTGAGCTTGGTTTGGTAATAACAGAGGGCTACTATAGCACAGGGGTCACAAACACAAATGCCTACAGCCAAAGGGGTACAGGAAATGTCAAAACTGAACCAGGTCTAAGAACTACATGTTGTGAGGGGACAAGAAGAAGTGGAAGGAGCTTAAGGAGAGTTCACATTCTACCCAAAAAAGGAAGCAATGACACAGCTTCAGTCAATAATAATATTCAGAAATGGAGGGCCAGGGATGCCACATTAGCCAAAGTGTCCAAGATAAACTAGAAATATAAATTTTTATGCATACATTCTCAAATTTAAACATGGACTCTAATGTTTTAAAACAAAGATATAGGTAAATAAAACATGTTTTCAGGGCATAGTTTTGAACATACTACAGGATTCTAATCAGGAGACTGACAAAGTGAAAATCTTCTTTTCAGATTATATTTATACAAAGGATGAATTAGAATAGGATATTGATTATAAGGGAAATAACACAAAGAGGAAAATCTACTATGATGCCTCGGCTAAAAGGGCAGCTAGAAAATAAAAATAAGGAACTAGAAGAATTTGCCAACATACCAAACAATGAAGAAAAAAATCTGGCCAAAGATATATGAAAATAAGTGTGATGACACACTGACATTATGAGGTATTCACTTAATCCACCAAAAAAAAAGAAAACCACTCTAACCTGATGGTTCAAACCTACCAGCCACCCCTCAGAAGGAAGGTTGGGCAATCTACTTGCATAGTGACGACACCTTGGAAACCCAAGGAGGGGTCGCTATGAGTCAGATCCGACTCGACAACACATAACAACAACAACAACAACATGTGAAGTTATCCTTACGTATGTATCTATATGATAGGACCAAGTCCACTTACCAAATCATTTTACAAGGCAGATGAAGGATACTCAGGTTCTATATAAAAAATAGCATTATACTCAAACTCAAAACCAAATTCACTGTCATGGAGTTGACTGTGACTCACAGAGACCCACTGTGGGTTTCCAAGGCAGTAAATCTTTACAGTAACAGATTGTCCAGTATTCCTTCCATGGAGTGGCTGGTAGGTTCGAACTGCCAACCTTCTGGGTACTATGTCACCAAATCCACCATAAGGAAGTGCTATTCATACTGTGTCCAGTAGCCCAGAACCATTGTATAAATTCCTCATGGTAAAGAAACTTAGAATGTTTATTAAATGTTCCTGAAGTAAACTGACCAAAATAATTTTATGTTTGTTAATTCTAATAATAAAAAATCGGGCCTTGCATTTTCTTCTTCTTCTTTTTTTTTTTTCATTTTTCTGGTAATTTACTTTTATACAATATTGCTCTGCAATATTTTCATTGGCAGTGAAAGAACTGATATATCACCATAGACAGTCTGAAAAGTGCTGCTGTATTTTAAATTTTTGTATTTTACAAAAAAGTAAGACTTGAAAATATTAGGTAAAAAATCTATTTAGCAGAATATTTAGCAAGTTTTTTGTTTTTCTTTGTTCTTTGCCTGAGAGGGGATATAATAATCTATTTAAATAAGCTTAAAATCTTTCATGTCTGGAGAAATTAAATGCTAAATAGCAGACTTCTGAATTGTACAACCTTATGTTTTTGTTATTTACAGAAAGCAAATTATCCTAAATAAAAACTAAGATCACAAAGTCACTGTGGATTTCAGTAATTAATAAAATATGCATTTGCCAAAAAAAAAAAAAAAAAAAAAGGTCAGTATGTGTCTAAGGCACTTGACTGCTAACCAGAAGGCTGGCGGTTCAAACCCACTAGCCACTCCTCAGAAGGAAGGTTGGGCAATCTACCTCCGTAGTGATACTGCCTCAAAAACCCATGGAGGGGTTGCTATGAGTCGGGTCCGACTCAACAGCACGTAACAACAACAACATGTTAATCCTCACAATAATTTTTAAAATAAAGTTAACTTACCCATTGCTACATAGGCTTTAAATCGTGTAGATAATCTGTCCACAAAGGCACTTAAAATTTCCAATCCCATTAATGACACCTACAGACAGAAAGAAGTTTTAAGGAATATAAATTACTGATACATACTTTAACATCCAGTTAAACTGTAGACACTTAGAAAGATATTCACATAACATATTACTGAATTTTTTTAAAAAATAAAGAGACTGATGTATTCAGAGGTAAAATGTCATGAGTTTGGGGCTCCTTATTCTCAAATGATTTGATAATAACAATAATAATAATGCAAAATATGAATTTTCAGTTACTTCTATAGCCACTGTCATTATGCATCAGGGAAATACAAATTAAAACTATCTTGAAATACCACTGTATATAACAGAATGCTGAAATTACAAAGGCTGACAACACCAAATGTTCCTAAGGATATGAAACAAATAGAATTCACATACATTCCTGGTGGGAGTGTAAACTGATATAATCACTTGATAAAACTTTTTGGCAGTATATTTAAAACTACAACCTAAATAAATAAATAAAAGTGGAAAAATCCAAATGTGCACTGACAGGAGAAAGGATAAATAATTATATATTTATATAATGGAACACTACACAGCAGTAAGAAAGAACTATTGCTAATATTTGTACTAGATACAATGTTAGATAAATCTTAAAGACTTAATATTCAGTGAAAAGAAGCCAGGCACAAAGAATATATGTCATTCCATACTTTCCATATTGATGAAGTTCAAGAATAGGCAAAACTTATCTATAACGATAAAAGTCAAACCAGGGGGCTACCTCTGTGAACTTAACAAGTAAAGATTCAGTTAGTAATCAAAAAATATCCACAAGAAAAAGCCCTGGGCCAAAGGGTATCACTGAATTCTATCAAACATTTAAAGAAAAATTAATACCAATTCTTTATAAATTTTTAAAATAAATAGGAGAAAACACTTCTCAGCTCACTCTATGAGGCCACTATTCAGCACTGAGGATGAGAAAGACATAGAGAGGTACATGGGAGGTACAGACAACAAATATGAACCCTTTTGCACATACAGTACTGTGTTGTCAGTGAA